GGGGGGGGGGGGTGTGGATTAAGTACTATTGGGGAACAAACCAGCACAGATGATGCCTATGTTATTGATTATCCATCAGAAAAAGATATTTCAAATATGCAGATCAGTCTTCTGACAGTATTAAACCCTCAAATATAGCTTAATTTTGCTTTAACGTACATTAAAGAAAAGATTGGCCACTACATGTCAAAGAATTTCTTCTACACAATTATCAATTAACTTTTCACAACAAGCTGAAAAAAATTATTTCACCAGTGGCTATCAGATGAAGTGAGATATAGTCCAGCATTGTGACAAATTACACCAAAAAAAGCATTAAATTGTTCTCATCCTCGAGTTACATCTGACTAGAATACTCCTACACAAATGAGTCCAGATTTGTTATCAGTATTACTTGAACCAAAAAACAGGTTAAGACAAATTTCCTGTCTCCTCAGAGAAAGAAGCAGGCTCAATACTAAATTTCCTTACTTGCATGCTGGATGATAGTTTAATTACTGGAGAACCTACTACAAGCTAGACCTTCGGCAAGGTACCAAAGCAGAAGCTCAGATAGAGAACGGTGATAGTAGTTTGCAACAGCAAGTAACAGTCACTTCCTAGGGGCCTTAATTGGGCTTTGCTCTGTTTCTCATAATAGCATAATTGATTTCTCTACTCTCTAGTCATATAGAAATCATTTCAGTAATCAGGAACAAGGGAAATTAAACGTTATCAGGATCCTGGTTGAACAATCGCACCACGTCTCATCCTTCATCCAAGCTGAGGCTAAAGGTACATGGATCTGGTACTTTTTTTCGATCAATAGGTATATGGATCAAGTCTAAATGTTTACTACTGCCTTTGTGCTATTTTATGTGACTGGGATCTGGAGTTTAAGAAGTTAATACTGACTCGTGTATTATGTTAGTCATAAGGGAAGAAAATTTTAAGACAGCCGTTGGGAAGTTAGTTTGATAAAGTAAATATCACTTTAATATGAATTGTTAAATAGTATGAAATAATAACCGTAAACGCAATCTCTCAAACACATTAAGGATGTCAAAATCCAACTATGGGAGCAACAATAAAGTAAAATGATAAGACCCAGGACTTTTAGAATTTCATGGTCTGTAGCAAATCACAACATTCAAATTTGTTGACTAGCTTGGTAAGAAAGGCACAAGAATCTCATGGACTGTTTTTTTTTAAAGAACGTCTTCTTGGGATATCAAATAAACTGGCATTTAAACAACAACAACAACTACCCAGTAAAATCCCACATAGTGGGGTCTGGGGAGGGCAATGTGTACGCAGACCTTACCCCTGCCCGATAGGGGCCGAGAGGTTAAACTGGCATTTAAAGAAATATAAATATTATTTGCCAAGAAAAAAGGATCCTTACAAGTATGTCTTGACCTATCCAGCCAAAAGAAGAATTTCTGTACACTGCCCAAACCACTGCAAAGGTTATGCAGAATGGGGAAACAGCCAAAGTAAGATAAGAGACTGCACCAAAAATGGGTACTTTAATGAATGACTCTCCCGTACGCCTAAACCACCTGAAAAAGAAAACCACCTAAAACAATTAGATATTCGTTGTATAAAAGAACTTCCAATACCTTATCCAATTGAAATGGGGCACGAAGAACACATGAATTTCTTTGTGCTTTTATTACAATGAACTCTTTGCAAATACATATCAATATGGTTATCATGATCTCTCAATTTAAGCAGAGAACGGTATTTACCTACTCAACAGGTACCTATTACATGTGTTTTTCCCTTCTTTTTTTTTTTNAGTAAAATCAGAACGTAAAGACAGATAGTGCACATCGATTTTCAGACCTTCACCAAGTCTTCAGTACATGGAATGCAGGGAAAGGTGAAATAACTATTCACTTCTCATATGATTATACTTGAAAAAGGAATCATACCTAAAAGTTTTTTTTTTTTGAGAAAGTATCTAAAAGAAAGTTTTTCCTCACAACAAAAGGATTTACTTGTTAAGAAAATGCAAACAATTTCATTCATGCACTACCTAAAGCTGGATTCTTTAACTACTAAAACAGCCTAAGCTCGGCAGTAAAAACGTACAATCGCAAAAAGCATGATTCTAAGTTAGAGACATCAAATTACACCACGTATAACACAACAAAAGAAAAAACAAACCATACCTTGATAGCAAGGCAACTAAGCAAGTTTGTAAACTCTGCACATGAAAGAAACCAAACAGTTGCTTTAACAGATTGTGGAAGCCAGAGCAAGGTCATATAAACAGAGAAAGAGAGAAACAAAGCAGGATCCGGGGGGGAGGGGGGGTGCTTACAGGACCCTCAGATTTCCAAACTGGAGATTCATAACTCTTCTTCAAGAAAAAAGGCAATTGTTTTCCCAAGGTAGGCTTAGGTTGGTACACTTATTTCAAATTCATACACTTCTTTGTTCAATTTCAAACTATTCTAGATCTTCCAGTTTAAATCTTCGAAGAAGTGTAGAAAACTTTTTCATATCATTTTGTATACAGATCATACATGCGAATGCATAATAATGAAAAAGGATACCATAAATTACAAAGGGGGGAAAAATGGAGCAAAATATCTGGTACTTCCACAATAAATTGATTTTATAACACTGTAGAAACTTACTGAACACTAACTAATCATAAGGGTTTTCAGCTGAATATCTAATGCAAATCACGAGCGAATCTAATGGCATTCTTATATATGGGTAAAATTCCAAGGCTGTGTTATCCCAATGTAACGATGTAAAGCATTCTAACATGGACAGATAACTTATTCGCGAGCACAAGTCTATGGACTAAAGCATTCAAGAAGTAAATGCAAATTTGTCATTTATGATAAGTAACACATCAAAGCAAAAATACGCACCTCTACACCACCGATGCAAAATAGAACCACCAAGATTTCAAAGAACCACGTGAACCTCATCAACTTATATAATACAATTAAGAAGCAGGAAGCAACAACAACAAATAAGACTGCTGATATCATGTTTATATCCATGACAGTGCTTGAACCACCAGTTCCAAAATGTGGAAGATCTTCCTCTGAAGCATCCTAAAAAAAAGACAAATAGAAAAGTCACTGCAAAACTGAAGCCCAAATATCTTAACAAACTCTAGCAAAGCCTGCTACTCAGAAAAAGGATGGATGACCTTCAACAGCTTGTCGTGCTCTATAGCTGCTTCTCTAGCACTCCAAGCAGCCCAATAAGAACCACATAAGATTGTACCAACAGCCATCAGCCACAAAAATACTTCTGCAATGTCCACTACAGGTCGTCTTGGAGAGTAGAGTTGCACAGTAACTAAATGAAAGAGCAAAAGATTTGGAAAAAGAAATTGCAAGTCAAAGACCACCAGAATTTCAAATTCATAAACAAAGTAATGAAAGCCTTTTGAAAATTCTGGCTCTAAGATACCTCAAACATTTTATAAGAACTGGAAAAAAAAATATCCATCGTTTTAAGCTAGATTTATCACAAAACATAATTAGATCATGAGAATCTCTCTCTCTCTCTCTCTCTCTCTCCCTCCCCATCTCTCTCTCTCTCCCTCCCTCCCCATCCCTCTCCCTCTCCCTCTCTCTCTCTCTCATATGCATGAATTAATGATCTGGAGAAGTGTATTATCACTTTCTCGCTTCTGTATGTCTGTTTACCTTATTCCGTGCATAATCAAGTTACAGGTTGAATCAAATTAGAAAAATACCAAAGCCCTAGAGGCTTGATTAAGTGTAGTATTTAACAGCATCATCCCTGTCTTGAGCTCTTAACAGTGCCTGGAACATGTTGCTTTTCAGCATAGATCAACTCGGATGTGTTTTCTCATCTAAGTTGTGACTCTTCTTAGAAATTTACCTGATGAGCGATTCAAAAGCATTTTATCCAGCGTTGCCCCAGCATCCTGAGGTAGCATAATGGCAGGTATGTGTATATCTAGGTCAGTTTCTTCAGGATCACAAACCATCTTGTAAAGTTCTGCAAGACAAATGACATCCGTAAAACAACTGCAAGCAGTGATGTATAGGCAGCATTGAACCAACAGAAAAACAGCAAGAGCTCCACATAACACCCTCAGACAAAGAACAATGCGAAGAAATAGCAAAAAATTTATCCTTAGGCTTCATTTATCCAAAACTTATTATTGCTGCAGAATACATTCAGTTACTGGCATCAACCTCAGTACACTACATATTCATCATTCACCAATTACCTTTTTGATTATTTACTATCAAGATTGCCGAAGCCCCCGCCGCTTCCGCATTATTAGCCTTTGTTGTGAATTTGCAATGGCCGCGATCTACCATGATGACCTCTCCAGCAAGCTAACAAAATAAAAAGCATTATTAGCAGCATAAAGCAAAAGGCCATTGAAGTATATATTTGGTAAGCATTTATATGGAGTAAATAACCTTCTTCCTTGGAGGCTTGCAACAATCCCGAGGGTCAGAAAGAGTAAGGGGAGTTTGCTGTGCATTTTTCTCCTTGGACACAATAGTAGTGCCAAATCTAGCACCAACACCAACAAATTCTGCATCCTCTTTACCATCAATCCAAGTTTGAACTTTCACCTAACCAAAGAAAAGGGAAGAAGAACAATTGAAACTGAGATGGACATATTTTTTCCTTTCTTGGGGGTAAGGCGTACACATTTAAATAGACAAAGACTCATTAAAATATAGCATCAAGCTAAATAAAGCACCTCCCACAGCTAAATTTCCAATAGCCAAAGCATAATAAAGCAAAACAGAGGAAACCCAGTTTGAAAAATAAAAGTAAACACAGGATCCAGCCAAAAGCAGTCATTAATGCAAGCACAATAAAGCAAAACCAAACAAAACAGAAGAAACCCAGTTGATAAAATCAAAATAACATATGATCAAGCAAAAGCAGCACCTTTTACAGCTAAATTCTCATTACTCCTAGCAACAAGGCAAAAGTAAAGAAAATAAAGGAAACCCAGTTGAGAAAATAGAAGTAACATAGTATCAGGCTAAAAAGCACCTTTTACAACTAAATTTTAACTAGTCCAAGCCCAAGAACACAAAATAAAGGAAACCCGGTCGAGAAAATAGAAGTAACATTAGGATCAAGCTAAAAATAGCACCTTTTTCAGAAGTAAAAATTTTGAATAGTCCAAGCACAACATTAAAAATAAAGAGGAAACCCAGTTGAGACAATTAACATTTACACATGATCAAGCTAAAAACATCACCTTTTACAACTAAATTTTCACTAGTCCGAGCACAAGAACACAAAAGAGCACAAAATTGAAGAAAACCCAATTACGAAAATCACATAAAACGAACTGGGTCGAACAGAAACTGAGCATTAAAAATATAGAGGAAACCCAGTTGAGAAAATTAACATTTACACATGATCAAGCTAAAAATAGCACCTTTTACAACTAAATTTTCACTAGTCCGAGCACAAGAAAACAAAAGAGTACAAAATTGAAGAAAACCCAATTAAGAAAATCACATAAAACAAACTGGGTCGAAGAGAAATTGAGCAGTAAAGATTCAGAGAAAAAATTATACCAGCACAAAGTCGTTCTCACAACCGGGTTTCTTGGGTGCTAAGTCATCGTGATGAACAATGTCACCTGCTGTAACTTTAGCAGGATAATTCAGTGAGAAGAATAATACCAATCCATATATGCAAATTAGAGAGCTAATAATCCTCATGGATTCAATTGAAAATTCTCTTTTTCTTGTTGGATTCACAGTTCATCACCATACACTGTATTTACAGAAGACAGTATTCCAAGAAAAGCAATTACTACTATTTACTAAAGGTGATTCCTTTGTGAAAAATTAGTAGAATATTGAGTGGAGAATTCTAAAAATTCAAAGGGAGAAATGATCAGTTAGTTGATCAGTGGACTGGATCTACTGTTTTTCCCAGAAGAGGTGTACTGACTTCAAGAAATTTAAGGGGAGTTTTTGGCCAATATTGTCATTTTGCTCTCTCAAATATAATCGTAACCATAATTAGTCCCTTTGATAACATAAATCATCACTTTAGTTACTCATTTTTAATCTATTTTGATCTCTCAAATATAACTCTTAGCACATTTAATCCCTTGGATAACACAAATCATCACTTTAATTTCTCATTTTTAGATAATGTCTTCCAAAATTTTGACCTTAAAAATGTATAATATTTGTATATTATATATATACATTTATATGTTAATATACAAAAATTATTCAAATTTTATATACTTTTTCAGCTACCAGATGTAAATAATTTCTTGTGCGGGCTAAAAATAAGAATACAATCTCGTTATTGGTTTGCTTCAATAATATGTCTATAAGTGATCTTGGCAGCTCTATTTTTTCCAAATTTTAACTTTTCTTTTTGGAAAAATCAACCAAAATTTTTAAAAGTAAAAGTTTCAACGTTAAAGTCTTAAATTTATCAACTTTGTACTATTAATGGGTGTTTGTTTATAAAATATTTTCGATAAGTAAATTAAAATGACAGTGAAAATCGAAACCAATCCCGTAATTGATCTTGGACAGATTCTGTCAGTGAGACTAAAGGTGCTCCACTTTAGCATACTTAAAATACCAAATATGCTCAGGGTTCATAGGGACCAGAATAGACTTATCCTCAAAGATAAGGGACTAAAGGTGCTCCACTTTAGCATACTTAAGGGACCAAATATGCTCAGAGTCATATTTGAGGGACCAAAATAGACCTACTTTCAAAGATAAGAGATAATATTGGTCAAAAACTCAGTTTAAGGGGGCTATCTTTCTTTCATCTTTTTTCTTTTTACCTTTTTTTTTTTAATTGAAAAATATTAGTTTTGTTATAAATATATTATATTATGGATGTTCATTTAGTACCCCGTTGTAAATAAGCTTCCTAAAGAAGCTTATTCATATGGGACTCCGCCGTAAATTGTTTATCTATTTAGTACTCTATTGGAAATAAGCCTCCTGAAGAATCTTATCACTTCGCTACCCGGTTATGGATAAACATTATTTCCGGTAGAAGATTATCCATACCGGGTATAATAAGCTTATCATTTCGATACTCCGTTATGGATAAACATTACCCCCAGTATAAGATTATCTATACCTGGTACAATGAGCTTATCCTTTCAGTACTCCGTTATGAATAATCATTACACCTAGTTGAAGATTATCTATACTGGGTACAGTGAGCTTATCCATTCAGTACTCCGTTATGGATAAACATTGCTCTCAGTAGTAGATTATCCATATAATAGCAGCTTACACAACAGCTTGCAGTAGCAGCTTACACAACAGCTTCCTTTCTACTAGAAATAGAAGAAATTTCAGTTTATTATGTACATTAGTTTGAATTCGAATTATATACCAATTTCTCTATATACTTGTCTTTACTTTACAGTCTTTATTTTATAACATGTTATCAGTACGAGACTCTGCCATCTCGAGCAAATACTTTGAAAGTATTTGAGGTACGAATTTTCTTTTTCTATATAATGTCAAATCTTTCTAAACTTGAATTTGTAGCCCTGGATATATCGGGCAAAAGCTACATGTCTTGGGTGATTGATGCTAAAATTCATCTTGATGCGATAGGTCTGGCAGACACTATCAAGGATAAAAATCAGACATCAAACCAAGACCGTGCCAAGGCAATGATATTCATAAGCCATCACCTTGATGAGGGCCTCAAAATGAAATATCTCACTATTAAAGATCCAGTCATACTATGGAATAATTTGAAAAATAGATATGACCACCTGAAGATGGTCGTTTTTCCACAGGCACGTTATGATTGGAATCATCTAAGGCTACAAGATTTTAAATCTATAAGTGAATATAATTCTGCTATATTCAGAATTTCCCAATTGAAATTATGTGGTGATAATATTACTGATCATGATATGTTGGAGAAAATTTTCACCACTTTTCATGCCTCGAATATGCTCTTGCAGCAGCAATATTGAGAGATGAGATTTAAAAAGTATTCTGAACTTATCTCACATCTTCTTATAGCCGAGCAACATAATAGGCTATTACTGAAAAATTATGAAAGCTGACCTACTGGTTCTTGTCTATTCCCTGAAGTGAATGAGACGAACTTCCACCAAGTTAGATGTGGAAGAGGTCGTGGCCCCAGTCGTGGTCATGACCGTGGTCGGGGAAGAAATTTTAATCATGGTAATAATAATTCACCAAAGAACCCTCCTCACCACCAGCAGTGAAAAAGGAAGGAACAAAAACATGAAGCGATGCAAGCACCAAATGTAGAAAATACATACTATAGATGTGGAGGAAAAGGGCACTGATCACGTACCTGTCGTATGCCAAAGCACCTGGTTGAGCTTTATCAAGTCTCCCTGAAGAAGACAGAAAAAAATGCTGAAGCAAATTTTATTTTTGAAGATAATTTAGACTTCATGCATTTGGATGTAGTTGATTACCTTGCACTCTCAGAAGGAGAAACAAGTCATGTAATCGGTGGTGAATTTGTAGAAATGTAAATATTTTAATTTTTGTGATTTGTAATAGATAGTATGGTTATGTAATTATTGTACATAAAGAAAAATTATGATTTGATAATGATGTTTACTATAATATATCTTATTTATGTCATTTTGAGAATTTGGATAACATTATTAGATCAACTTAAACTCTAGGAGAGTTTGCAAGAAATATATAACTACCAAAAGTGGTTATATTTCGTATATCTCATTGTAATTATATTTTGTTAACCACCAAAAGTGGTATATGCCTATTATCACCAGAAGTGATAATTTAGACTTTCTATGGTTACAATTGAAGATAAGCTACATAAATATTCACTATATTAAATGCACGCCTCGATTTGCTCCTGAAGTAGTAAATATTTTAAAAGAGGTTGAGCCATCACAATTTGATGTGATTAATGCGCATTCAGATAATTATGTTCGATTTCCTGAAGGATGAGAACTTTTGATAATATTAATCCATTCCCTGACGTGAATGTAACAATATTAATAAATCTGGTAAATATGAACGCGCTCTTGATGAGAATATTACAATTCACCTCCAGAAGAGGTAATGTAATTGAGAGAATATATACTCAATATTTCGTATTTTAAATTTGCTCCTGAAGAAGTAACACAATTGAAATTGCCTTATGAAGTAGGAAAATATTATGAAGAAGAGTTTTCTTGTGCTTAAGCAATTGTTTTACATTGTTTCTTTGATTGTGATTTTCTCTCGTGATACCAAAAGTGTATGAGCAATATTTGATAGTATAAAATGTATCAACAACTCTTGAAGAGCTAGTTGTTTGCCTAGAAGATACATGACACCAGTAGTGTCCGATAAATATTAGATTGTGGATAATAAATGAAGGCTCTTTAAGAGTTTATATATAAATATGTCATTCATATTATATGATTATGGTCAAAACATATGTTGTAATAAACCTGAAGTTTACTATTACAAGTGGCTATCATATTAATACTACAAATGATTGGAAGATTGAAAATCTTTATGTTTTTGCAATCATAGGGGGTAAAATAATATGTATGTGAGAAGTTACCTGTCTTATTCTTCAATTTGTACTACATCATGTATCATAGTAAATCAGAAGTTTACTAATGCAAAAGTTTATGCCATAGTAAACTAGAAGTTTACTAAGACATAACACATGCTATGATAAACTTGAAGTTTTCATTTGCCATTTTTAAATGAGCTATTTGAGAATTCTGATAAGCATATACTGAAAAACCAGAAGATTCTTCAAGAATTCTCTCGTGCTGCTTGTTCTCATAATATTATACCGGCTAAAGTTGGGACTAAGATCCCTGAATTCTGGAATATATAAAAGGTGAATATGGACTCATTCACCTATCATGTGAACCACTTATAGATGCATATATAAGATGGTTACATGTATGTTTATTGTCAATCTGCAGTTTGGCATTTGAGATTGCTTTTCTCAATTAAGAACATAACTTTCAGATTATAAAATCAAGACAGTTCATCTTGATAATGCTGGTTTATATCCAAGCTGGTTTAGCATTGGATACCTCCTACTAATGGCTAAACTATTGCGTATGAGAACAAAGCTTCATGTATTGGTCTGAGATATTTTAAATCGCATACAACAACACTTGTATGCATCAGACCAACAATATATGATAAATTTCTCCCCTAACAATTGGTTTAGGATCAGAAATCAAATATTTTTACTATCTTTTGATGTGTGGTATATGATTAATTTCTCTACCATAATACACAAAGATATGTTTCTCAAAGAACATTGGGGATATATGTTAGTTTTTCTAACATTTGGGAGATGGAATAAACAGCTGAAAAATATGTTATATGAATCAAATTATCATTAGTATGATCCTCACTCAGAAGATAATTCAAATCAAATGCCAGAAGCACTTGCTGATCCAAAATTAAATACCATATCTCAGTTGCAAATGCTCCTATTAAAATTAAAGTCCCTGAAGGATAGAGTGTACTATACGCATGAGGCGTAGTAGATCAATTGGTTCCAACGGTAACAATCCTTGAAAAATGATAGGAGCTAATGATCAAAATGGTCATAATAAGGAAGAAATGAGCTTTAGAAGAGCCCACGACATAACATTTCATGAAACTTCAGAAGAAGTTCAAGTACCTGAAAATAAAGAAAGTGATGAGATCTCCGCAAGTTATGTCGCTTAGGAACTGATATAAAATGATCATCGACGATATATTTGATATGATATAGTGCACAATATTGTAATAGATTGTGAGGATCGGACCAGCAGTCCAGACACTTGAAGATGTTATACCATTTAGATACAAGTCATAACCTATATGACTTATTTGATTAAATCTATATGAAGATCCTTGAAGGATTTAAAATGCCCTAAGCATATAATTCAAAGTCTTGAAAAAATGTACTCGATTAAATTATAAAGAT